ATCATGAGTTCGAGGAAATCATCGAGGAGTAGGAGGAAGAGATTCTCGTGTAGGAGGAGGTCCTGGATCCACCACTGACTGACTGAGCTGACACCTCGCCTGCCTAAGGCAAGCCCCGGTGCATAACCCTTATTTTGAATAATCACTGGATATATATGTGTGATGTGCATTTACGTTACAGGCTTATTGTTGAAACTACATGCATAGATATACCTACCTACGAGTCCTACTAGCTTAGGCTGCGTAGCTGCCATGCTTAGGTTTTTCGACAGCGTGAGTAACCTGCCGTTACTCGCAATAGGTGATTATTAATATTACTCTCATGATAAAATGGTGAAAGGAAATAGAGACCGGGCAAGGATATGGTACGGGCATTGGTGGGTGTAAGAGGTTGTGTCCCGCGACCAATGGGCCATAGCTTGGTTACACTGTTTTCCCTGTCCGTGTCGGTTAAGGACCGGCCGTTGCATTGGATTCTAGTCAGGTCACAGACTTATTATCCTGAGCACATACTTGCTTATGGGAGCGGGAAGGCTCGTTGCTCTCTTGTCGTGGGTTCTGGCTCTTCCCGGACCAACTGATTGGAGACGGGGATGGTGGAGGTCTAAGCACCACACTGAGTCCGAGACTCAGGTGTGGGGGCTTGGAGTCTAAGTTTGGACGGGGACCTGGACCCCTTGACAGAAGAGTGGTGGGTTGGTCTGGCTTGTGCCTGGGGTACAAGCGGGCCGTGTGTTTCGGGGTACCCAGCTGGGCTACATTGATTCATGAATCGCCGTGTAATACGGTATGACTTGTCTACGATCTAGCACCGTAGTAAGAACTGAAAGGTAAAATATGGTGAAATGGATCTGATTGCTCCACTCTTGCTTGAAAGTAGAACATGTGCTTACATAGAATAGTTAGCTAATGAACTAATTAGGACTGCTAATAAGGAACATGCATAAGGACTCACTACTATTAAGGCTTTTTGCAAAAAGGAAACCCAGCAAACTATAAAGCCTATCATATCTTTTGGAGTCGGGAAATTATTCCTACTAGTCGGGTAAGTCTTGCAAGTACATTGTGTACTCAGGGTTTATTTACCGCTGTTGCAGGTGCAGCTTGAGGAGTAGCTATTGTGTGGAGGATTCTTCTAGTGGGCACAGATGGATCCTTGTATCTTATCATTAGATGTTTATTTTAATTCCGCTGTTTAAATTCCGCACTCTGAACTTGGTATTGTAATAATGTATTTTTGAGAACTCTTGTTGTATGAAATGGACTAAGTATTGTAAATTTGTTCTCATTATTGGATCCTGAAGGAAAAAATGTGGATGATTTGAGTTCTCCCTTGGGGTGTGCTCGATGGAACCATCCGGTGTAGCTTGCTTTCGGGGTGCTTAGTGTCTGGTGGAAGACGAGCGCCTCTGAAGGTATGTTATTTCGGGTGGTTCGGCCACAGCTCGTCATTAGCTTTTTCGGCTATGTCATACTTCGCTAAGAATGAGTCATTCATAAGTTCTAGCTTCTCATTTTTAGCTCTTGTCTTTCTAATGATTTTAGTGTATTGGTTTAACAATTTGACAAGATCATCATAAGAAGGTGATTCAAATTCTTCATCACTATCACTACCATTCTCATCATCACTAGTATTGTCATCACTACCACTATCATCATCATTTTGTACCTTTCTTCATCCTTGGCCATGAGGCATAGGTGTCTAGAAGATGATGACGGCGGTGTCGGTGAAGGTAGTGAAGAACCAATCACAAGAGTGGCCACCTTCTCCTTCTTATTTTCACTTTCATCATTGGATGAGCCACTTGATGATTCAATGTCCGTGAGCCAATCACCAACCATATAGGCCTTGCCATTCTTCTTCTTCTTGTGAAATTTCTTTTTCTTGCCATCCTTCTTCTTGTATGGCTTGTTTTTCTTTTTCTCATCATCATCATCACTTGAATCATCTTTTTTGCCCTTGTATTTCTTTTTGTACTTGTCTTTCTTGGGTTTAGGGCATTGATGAGCTAGATGACCAAGATCTCCATAATTGTAGCAATCCATTTCAGAGATGGGCTTCCTTCTACTACTGGTGAAAATTTTGTTCTTCTTGCCATCAAACTTGACATCATTCTTGTTAAGCTTCTTGAGCATCTTGACGGTTCTTCTAACCATGAGAACAAGGCTTGCATCATCAATCTCTTCATTACTTGAGCTATCATGATCAATTTTTGCTTTGCCCTTCTTCTCTTGGCTAGCCTTAAAAGCCAAATCTTTCTTCTTGGTGGAAGAAGAGTCATCTTGAGGAGTGATGTGTATGTATATCTCATGTGCATTGATCTTCCTCAATATTTGAGTTGGCTTAGCGGTGGAAAGATCACCTTGATGAAGCACCGTCACAATATGCCCATACTTGTCAATGAGGAGGACACTCAAGATCTTTCTCACAACATCGGATGGTTGCATTTGAGTGAGTCCAAGCCCATTGATCTCCTCTACACGAATATTCAAGCGTGAATACATTTTATTAGCACTTTCACTAGGAAGCATTTCAACTAAATTAAGCTTCTTCATCACGAGGTGATAGCGTTCCTCACGCTCACTCTTGGTTCCCTCATGCAGCGCACAAATGTCCGACCATAGTTGATGGCCGTCTTTGTGGTTCCGCACACAGTTAAGGACATCCTTGCAAAGGCCTCTAAAAAGAGTGTTTCTAGTCTTTGCATTCTACTTCTCATAGTGAATCTCATCACCTTGAAGGTTAGCGGGATCCCTAGGTGTTGAAAAACCTTGTGAGGCGGCTCTAAGCACTCCAACATCTAAAGCCTCTAGGTACGTCTCCATGCGAATTTTTCAATAAGGAAAATCATCTCCATCAAAGATGGGAGGGGGTCCATCCCCGTGGGACATCTTGCTTTAGGCGGTTAAGCTTAATTCAAGGAGCACGAGGCTTCGATACCAATTGAAGGATCAAGATGTCCAAGAGGGGGTTGAATTGGGCTAATTCTAAATTTCTTGCAATAATAAGCCCTACACTTAGCCCATTTTAACCCATTATGCCTAGAAGTGTTTCTATTGTTCTATCGCACAAAGAGTTTTGCACCCTATGTTCCAATCCTACTCTAGCATGGCAATTTTAAGAATGTAAAGATATAAATTGAATTTCTCAAATGTAAATGCTCAAAGTAAAGAGAGGAAGATGAACGCGTCGATGTTTTTCCAAGGTATCGGAGAGTCTCCACTCCCCACTAGTCCTCGTTGGAGCACCCACGCAAGGATGTAGCTCCCCCTTGATCCGCGCAAGGATTAAGTGCTCACTACGGGTTGATTCTTTGACACTCCGTCGCGGTGAATCGCCCACAACCGCTCACACCATAACTTGGGTTATCCACAAGCTCCGCCGGATGATCACTAAGTTTCCAATCACCACCAAGCCGTCTAGGTGACGGTGATCACCAAGAGTAACAAGCACAAACTCTCACTTGATCAAGACAAGCCTAATGAGAAAGGTGGATGTACACTTGCTACTCCCTATACACTAATGAGGTCCGTAATCTTGGATTATCAAATCTCAATCATCCCACTAGGCTCTTGCTCTCCCTTGCACTCTAAAGGTGTTTCCCAGCTGAACAAATGGCAAGAGTTCTAAGTTGGACGAGTGGAAGAAGTATTTATACTCCCCACTTCAAAACATACCCGTTGTGGTCCAACTCAGCACATTTTGGAGTGATCGGACGCTTATGTCAAAGTGATCGGACACATCCGATCAGTAACCAACTGCTACATGGCGCTAGCACAATCATAAGAGACCGGACTCTGACCAGCGTTCGATCGCCACCCATTTGACACGTCCGGTCAGCAATTTTCTTCTCTGGATGCTTACTGTTATTGACCGGACACGGCCTCTAGTGCGTTAGGTCACAGCGTCTAGTCCTTGGTGAGTGCTGCTCGCTCTACAGTTGCGCACACCTACGCGTCCGATCCTGACTGGGAGCCAGCGTCCGATCGATGAGCAAGCCCTAGTTGCACGAGCTAACGCTGACCGGACGCGGCACCTGTGCGTCCGGTCCAGCGTCTGATCATCATCCAAGTCTCCATTCACCTCAAATTCTACTAACTTTGTGATCGGCATCGACTTCAACTGATCTATGGGCTGTCCTTGAGCTACCTAGTGCTAAGTTTGACAAGTGTGCACCACACCTAAATCATTAGACTCACCTAGGTCAAGTTACTAGTTCATACCCCCTTAATAGCACGGCCAAAGGAAAAACAAAATCTTAAACTACTCTAAGTGTCTCTCTAACGTCAAACGACACTTAAAACTAGTCCGTCCTTAACCTTGTCGTCCATCCTTTGAAAACCGAAACGATTTCTATCGATAGGGACATGAAAACCATAATTGCCCAATCAATTATCGTTACCATGATCTAACTCAAGTTGTCTTTGCAAAACATACATCAATCATAATAATCTTGTGTCGTTATTAATCACCGAAATCAAATTAGGCACATAAATGCTTTCAGTTACCGACCACTTTAGGCGTAGGAGTATTTCTTTTCCCCCGAGCACAAGCATGGACTCCAGCTCTATCAAACGCTCTCCAAACAGAGGGTCCGTTCGTTGCAGCTACAGCAGAGGCAGCTGCAAACTCTCTCAAATCTCAACCAGGCAATGTAGCAGACTAGCAGCTGCAGCCGGGGTCCAACCTACTCTACCTCAAACATCGAGTGGGCCAAGATGGGCCACATCGCACGCGGCAGGATGGTAACACGAGCGCTCCGGCCCACGGCCCACGGCCCACCTCGCCCCGCCCTCCTTCCGCAACCACTCATACTACGCTCAGGCCTGAGGCCCGGAAAGTACGCCACGACTCCGGAGCGACGCCGCCGCACCAGGAGCTCGCTTCCCAGCCGACCCCAAGCCCAAACCCCGGCGCGGATCCTAGCGGTGCGGCGGCCTAGGGGGTGAGGCGAGGCTGACGCGGCGCGGGCGGGCGGGCGGGCGGGCGGGCTAGTGCGATGGCGTCGCTGGGGCGGCTCAAGTCTTCCATCTTCGATAGGGAGGAGAGGAAGATGTAAGCCTCTCGTGCGGCAATCCGCCAATCCCCATGTCGTTCCCGTGCCTCTCTTTACCTTCTTCGATTCGATGTGGCCGTTGTTTTGGTGCCCTTCGTTTCTTAGATAGATTCCTGCGGCTCAAACTGGATATAGAAACCCTAGCCTTTTATAAGTTTCTTGCTGTTATAGCTGTTGAAGAGCAATATTTTACATTATTCAAGTACTCTTTGGGCCTTCACCATTGGGAAATGTAAAATTATTACTGGGTCCACGAACCCTAATAGTTTACTTATTTGTTCCTAATTGCTTTGCAGTAGTTACTAGTTAGTGTAGGTTATTAGTGCAGTAATCGAACGAGACGAATCACAAGCTCTTACTTTAGTACTCTTGTGGTGTTTGTGCTGAATTGTGGTCTCATTAATCTGAATGGGGGTTTGATCGATGCAGGCAGTACCAATCGCACATCCGCGGGCTAAACGCCTATGATCGCCATAAGAAGTTCATGAAGGACTATGGTACGATTTTTTTTCTGCAATCTTTTGTGGCAAAAGCATGCCAACCTTGTCTTTCCCAGCAATTTTTCGTTGATTCATTTGGAAATTGTATAGGTTAAGGTATTATCTGTTGCAGTGGCGGATCCAGGGTCCAAACCCTGTGGGGCCAAGCTTTACATAGATATACACAAGATAGATTAATTGCAAGTTAATTAACATGTCTTATGTAGGGGGTTTTACATGTTGCGGCGAAACCCACAGCCCCACTGATCTGTTGTTGAAATAAATGGTTCCAGAATAGAATATAGCATGGTAATGGAATAATAAGCTATGTTAACCAAATTATACCATGTAAACTGATGGTGTTCTCTATGTAAAAAGAAACAGGGAACATTTGCAACTTGCAATTCTTATGTTACTGTAGGAACCAGCACATACAACATACTCATGATGCTCTAGAGTATATGCCACAAGCTGCTTGCACTTCTGATATTACTAATTACCTCAGTCCTCAAATGCTGAACTATGTAAGGATCTGATGAGCAACCAACACACTAAAAATCTTATTGAATTCCTTTATAGGCTTCGGCTTCTGATCACAATCATTCAACGTGCTGGTGTGCCTACTTTAGGCGTAGCTTTAAATTTGGGGTTGATATATTGGTACATTGTCCCACGGCAAATGTCTGGATAGATGATTAATTTGCTCTTTCATGGTGAAAAGGAAACTGGGGGCAGTGGCACATAATGAGTTAATTATTTGCTTAGCCTTGGTTTCCAAAATAAACTGAATGATGAACAGTCCCCTCTAGTTTAGAAATATTTGGGGGCTACCTTCATCCATACATGGATTATGTATTTCTAAATATGATTTGTCAGCTAGTTTAATACAAAAAAACATTCTAATGTGTATTTTTGTTTACATTGGTTTTGTGTCCTGGTCTCGAACGTGGTGCAACCTTACCTTACTTTTTCGCCCAATGCCATCCCATGGATAGATCACAGAATGGACCTTTCATTGTGAGAAGTAAACTGAGATAGTGGCATGTAACAAGCTTTTTATTTGCTTACTCTTGGTTTCCAAAAGAAATAGGATGGATGATGAACAGTCCTCTCTATTGTAGAAAGAATTGGGGTCTACCTTCATCCATACATTGGTCATATACTTCTATCTGTAACTTACCACCCCCTAGTTGAATACAAAACATATTCAAATCTGGATTATTTTCTTCACAAAGGAATCAATATGATGTCCTGTTATCCCAATTCCCAGTCTGCTGATATACTGATACCTGACTACATGTACATCTAGGAGAAGTATGAACCTTTGAAAAGCATGCCAAGTCTAATCTTAAGTGGGATTGCTTGGATTTTAATTGATTTCTTTAGCAACTGGTTTGGTTGGCATACTTCTAATAGTGCAGTACCTGAGTACTTCTACATGGATATATCATATATGTATGAGCAATCTCTGATGCATGAATTCAAAACTAGGAGAATGTATTTTAGGTTTCAAAACTCTTATTTTATGTATCCCAGTCTTCAAGAATAGTGGTGTGAAAGAATTACCCCTTCGTTTGTAGTGTAGAAAGAGTTGGAGATCAGACACTCAACCTTACAGTTTTTAAAGCCCTATTATTATATTAGTATAGATCACATCTATCCTTCCTTTCCTGTATGATGTATCTGTGTATTGCCATTGATATGTGTTGTCTTTAAACAGTTAAGTTTTATGGCCATGAGAAAAATGTGGATAGTAGTTTGCCCATCAAAACTGATAAAGATACACTGAGAGAAGGATACAGGTCAGACTGATGTCTGTTAAATGTTCATGGTACAACATATGCATGTGCCCTGTGGTTTTGGGAAACTCGTAAGTGCCTCACTTCTTTTCTATCATGTAAAAGGTTCATTCTTTCCGAGGAAGATGACATGGATTCAACTTGGGAGAAGAGGCTGGTCAAACGTTACTATGACAAGCTTTTTAAGGAGTATCCTTTTTTTTGGTATATTTGATATTGTTTTGTTTTTTCTGGAAGGACATGTCAGTACATGACATATTTTTCAGATAAGTTTGTGAAGTAACATGTTCATATATGCTGAAGCTAATGTTGTTAAATGAAGATATTTAATAGTTTGGTGATATAAATAGGCATAAGTCATGTGAATGTTATCATATGAAGGACATGTATCTGTTGGTGACCTCTGCATTGCCACATTCTTCTGTGTTAGGCACTTCATAATTCGTACTTTCACCTCATGAACTTATGCATTCTGTCAGCTAGGATTGATTGATGCTTGTCTACATGGGAGTTATATTTTATGGGTTGTATTATTCCTTGTAATTTTTGTAAGGTTTAACTCTGTTGTGCTTAGGGTCCTTAACATGAGGCAGGTATTGCATTGCTGACATGACGCATTACAAAAAAGGCAAGGTGTGTTCCTTTAACCCTGTGTCATACTATTCTTGATGTAAACACTTAGTTTTTCCTTCACTCTTGAATGCCATGGAACAGAAAGAATCTTTGTAGCGTGACTTTTAGAGGGGCCATTATGTACTTTTAGAGAGTGTTTTCGATGTACGGGCAAGATTGCAAGAATTATATCATGCCAATTGTGATACTCTTTCAACTTGATTTCATATTTCATAAATTAATAAATGGGCAGTAATAGCTGTTCTCCTTGGTTTTGGATTTGTGTCAATGTGCATATCGCAATAAGCATGCTTGCCACACCCATTTTTAATGTTTATGATATGGCAGGCATGCACAAACACTGGTTATCAGAAGTGAAAACAAGTAGTAGGCATATGACAGTCATTCATACTCGTGATAGGATGATGAATGAGTGTCCAACTACATTTTTTGTTTCTGAAATGATCTGTAGTTTTGGATGTGAATTGCATGTTGTAAGGGCATTTTCTGCTGCAGATTGGATTGAGATGGAGAACAGAAAAGGAGGTGATATCTGGCAAGGGTATTATTCAGTAATCCTGTCAGTTAAATTCCATGTAAAATGGTTTACCGGAAAACTATGGCTGAACTTGGATCGTATGAGTATTCTGTTGCTAGTAACAGACCTTTAAAATGGAAGTCTAGAACTTAAAAGGGTTTTTAAAGAAACTATATCAAACTATCAATGTTACTGAGCTTAAAGGGTTGCTTGTTACACTTAGCAAAGTACAGGTGGGGGTTTCTTGCATCGAACAACCTCAAACTCCAAAATAGATCTGAACTGAATTCTTGTTTTTGAAAGCCATCGTTGTAGTTTTCTTATATTATTATGCTTATATACTTATCTGTAACAAGAACGCAGAAAGTTCTCCGAGAGATCAGAAATATATATTCTTGCAAACATGATCTGCTTTTTGTTGATCAGTATAAATAATATTTCAGTAATAACCAGAATATGCTCTTATGCAGGACAATTTATCTGTGGTAATAGGCATTGTGATGAAAAATATGGTCTAGGTAGTTATGAGGTATGCCATTTGCTAATATCTTCTTGTTGATACTAAAATGTGTACAATGCATTTTTTTTCCCAAAGAACTGTTTTAGCTGTATTTGTAGCCCTTACCTTTCTTTTTTCTTTATCTCATGTTCAGGTCAATTTTTCTTATGTTGAAGCAGGGGAACAGAAACAAGCACTAGTGAAGTTGGTAGCTTGCAAAAGGTTAGTGAGTCCGTTGTTCCGTGATAGGATTTGTTTGGAACAGTCTTTAACTATCATTGCTGTACTTTCTTGTTATGATATTTCTTTAATTAAGCTTTTCCATGGACCACTGAGTCCTACTCTGTCTTTCCTGCCTTCTTTTTGTTCAAGCAAGCATTCAATTGGTTATTTAGCCTGATTGTAGTACATTATGAAAGATGTGCAGAAAAGCTTGCTTATAAGAGGCAAAAGGAGAAAGAGAAGGAAAATGAGCTCTCTGGTGAAAAGGAAATTGAATTGAAAGACAGCGACAAGAGAAAGAGGTACTTCTAGTTCTTCTCCGCCCCCATTATGTTTTTTTACCCTATATTCTTTAATTTCGCTTTTCAAACTGCAGAAAACATGAGCAAAATGACGATACCTCGGAGGACGAGGACGAGAAATATAGAAGAAAGAAAAAAGGTATCCATGATTGCCGAAACCTTTTTGTGTGGTTATGAACTATGATGCATTTTGGGGCAGGCGTATTATGCTTAATTAAGGGCTTGTTTGGCCCCAAATTAAAAAACTCAGGCTGATAAACCCGCAAACATGCTTTTTATTACATCCCTGTGGCCTAACCAGCCATACGGTAGATTGGTAGACTGATAATTTTGGAGCGGTGGGTGAACCCTTCTGGCACTGAAAATGAACTGTATAGAATATGGTAGGGAAAAAGAAGTCAGAAAATTAAAATGATAAAAAGATGGTGTGGTTGTGGTGCCTGGGGCCCATCGGGGCAGCAACAAGGTGTGCCACATATCTGTAGAGAACATACATATGGTTGGCATTAGGCTCACTAGAACTTGTGATGGCATTGAGCTTTGTCGATTATTCCATGCTATGTATACTTGTGTGTTTTTTTTTCCTTTGGGATTTGAGGATGCAATAAATTCTGGTAGCCAGAAACTCACCCTTGCAAACAATTCTGCAGACCGGAGTGGAGCTTCTTCAAGGAGTTCAGGGAATAATGACGAAGGCTTCGAGGAGTACCTCGAAGGCATGTTTCTGTGATCTGATTCTTAGTGGTTACTAAAGTGAAGGTGGCTATAGGAAAGAAGGCTCCTTGATATCCATCGAAGAAAAAGATGGACGGATCTTGCAACAACACCGTAGTGTTGGAGTAGCAAGTCAGTTGCAAACCCGACACTCGATGTGCTTTGACTACAAAGTCATGCAAGTGTGCTGTCTGTAATTATGTGTGTCTGCTTTGTTTCGTTTTCGCGTCGCTTTCACTTTCAGAATAATGGGATGCCTCTTAGTCAAAGTCTCAAAATGTTTTCTGTAGCTAGTTTTCTGCTGCAAGAATTATGGTTACTCGGCTTCTCTGGGTGTTAAAATTTGCCTAGTTTTGCATAAAAGGGTACATTGAAGAGCATGGAATTATATTTATTTATTATATTATACCTCAATGATTGGAAAACAAAGAACTATTTTTTCAAATAAAAAACAAAAAAGTGAAAACAAGAAAACAAAGACCTTGGAAGTATATATTTATATTAAACCTCACTGTGTGGGAAAATTACTGATTTCTTGTAGTACAAAACATTAGAACCCTGAATTGCGTAACTTGCATGTCTGTACTCTGATGAGACTTTTCGCTGCATCAGTGAAGGCAAGCAAACAGCCCTCCGATTCTCTGCAGCTGGCCTGTGCGTGTCGCTTCCCCGACCCCGTCGCTAAACTCCCAACGCTTCAAACACTGTCACGCCATGCATGCCCCGGGCCGTAAAGGCCATGTTTATTGCTGCGGTCGTTTGCGGCACGGTATGCTTCAGTCCGTCGTCCGTGGTTTACATTACGTGTCAACGACGAGCTTGGCCCCTGGCGTGGCCAGACTCCACCCTGTACTGGTCGCCGACGCCGAAGTGCGCCATGAGCAGCCACACCACGGTGAGCAGCTCGCCGCCCTGGCTGAGCTGCCGGGCGTGGGCGCCCCCGCCACACTTGCCCGCCGCGTAGCAGAGCATCTCCACCCACACGCTGGCGACGAGCCGCCAGCGCTTGGCCTCCGTGGCGCCCTCCAGCTCCAGCAGCTGCCTCGCGAGCTTGCACGCCTGGAACAGCACCGACTTGCTCCGGTCCCCCTTCACGTCCCGCGGCTCGGCGATGGACGTGTCCACGGCCCGGAGCCTGGCCGCGCACCCCGCCTCGTCGCCGGCCTCGTCGGCTCGCCGGAAGAAGCTCTTGGCCTCCGCGCAGGTGTCCCCGAACCGGATCTGCCCGATGCTCGCCGTCATCATGAACGGGCGCATCACCAGGAGGAACAGCATGTAGCTGGATATCTCCCTGCTCAGTGCCGGCAGAGCGTCACCGCCGCTGCCGATACCGTCTTGGCTCGCGTAGAAGCAGAGGTCGGTGGCGATGTGCCAGAGGAGGATGCTCTCGTCGAACTCGCAGTCGACGCTCCAGCCCAGCTGCTGGTACAGGCCCTTGCGCTGGAGCGCCCACTGGCCGCGGTGCTCGCCGAGCTTCCGGTAGCTCTTGGGGTCCATGGTGCTGCTGGCCTTGCTCTTGAGCTGCTCGAAGACGAGGCGCTTCAGCGGCTCCGACACGGCGATCTTCTTCGTGTACCTCCAGCTGTCCCACATGGTCTTCACGCGGATGTTCCACCTCCACTCCAGCCACTCCATGAGCGCCTTGTACCAGCGGCGCTCGTCCCTGAGGCAGTAGCTGAGGAGGTTGTACTGCGACATCTGGTCCGACCACCTCGGCCTCGTCTCCGGCTGGAAGAACTCGATGAGCCAGAACACCACCTTCGCCGCCGGCCGGAGCCGCTCGCTGGCCCGCAGGTCGGCGTACGTCCAGGGGGAGATGACCATCAGGAGGATGGCGTAGGTCTCCAGGAAGACGGCGCCGCCCAGGAGCACGTAGGAGATGTCGACGTCGACGCTCGCGTAGCCGTAGCCTCGCATCTCGCCGGCGGCGCGCGCGAAGAGCACGAGCGACACGACGGGCGCGGCCAGGGTGAAGACGCGCAGGCCCCGGCCGAGCCAGCCGTGGATCACGGGGGCCTTGGAGTGGAGGGACTCGTACATGAGCACCAGCTCGATCTCCACGACCTTGAACGCCTGCTCCATCTCCAGCGTCCGGAAGAAGGCGAGGCTGTCGATGCGGTCGTGGAAGCTGAGGATGAGGTCCACGAAGAGGCGGCGGAAGGTGTGGAACAGCCGGTGCGCGCTGTACACCAGGTCGCAGTACGCCACCCGCTTCACCTCCACGTGGGCGTCGTCGTCGGGAGGCCGTTCCGGCACGATGACGATCTTGGCCACCAGCCAGGCGTCCCTCCTCGACTGGCACTCCTCCACGAACTTGGCGTAGTTGGGGCCCGGGTCCGGCGGCGTCAGCATGGAGCTGCGCAGGCTGCCCATGCTCGCCGCCCGGAGCGCCAGCGTCCGCTCGCCGTACTTGGTCACGCCGGCCACGAACATGACGACCGCCGGGACCATGAGCCGGACGCCCGGGCGCGACTTCCAGTAGACGTACCCGGCCAGGACGACCTGCGAGACGAGGCTGAGCAAGTGGCGCAGCCAGAGCTCGTTGTCCTCCACGGCGAACGCGGTGATGGTGTCCTGGCCGCCGAGGTGGAGGATGAGGAACGGCGCCCAGAAGACGAGCACGTGCATCTCGGCGTCCCGGGACCCGTCGCAGAGCTTCTGGTTCTGGGACAGGTTGCCCAGCGCGTAGATGGCGACGTAGTCGGCGAGGAGGTAGGCGAGCCAGAGCGGCATGCGCAGCCACCACTCGGCGACGCGCTTGCGCAGGCCGCCGGCGAAGAGGAGGAAGACCTGCAGAGCGAGGCTGGAGAGGACCAGCACGCGGATCTCCCACTCCCCCCATACGTCCCAGGCATGCTTCAGCTTCATCTCCGACGAGCGACGATCCACTCTGTTTCTTGACTATTCCTCAGCAACTCAGAGGCTTATCTGCTCCGACCAAAGGACATGGGATGTGAGCCTCATTGCCTCTGCATTCAGAACACTGCACGCCAAAGGACATGGACGGCAAGAGAAGACCGCTGTTTCCTCTTCAGGCAGAGCCGCGGAGGTCAGAGGTTTCCTGGCTACGGGCTGGATTCAGATTGGGTAACGTTCCTTCAGCAAGTCACAGCGTAACGTGCGGCCCTATATCCAACGTTGAAACACCATCCGACGGCCGCCAACTTTCCACCTGGATGAGCGCGAGCACGCCGGCCTTGAGCTCCAGCTCCGGTGCCGCCGCGCGGCGGCACTGCCGCGACGCGAGCGCCAGGAGGTCCGACACGTCGTCGGCGAGCCCGAGGTCCGCGACGGGGAGCAGGTCGAGGAGCGTGGCGAGGTCGTGCTGGAGCTCCCGCGCGCGCGCCGCCACCTCGTCCGACTGGAGCAGCAGGCGCGTGCGGCTGCGCGCGGCGCAGTCGGCCACAAGCGCCTTGAACCGCTGCAGCACGAGGAGGAGCTCCCTGAGGCACAGCGACCACGGGCGGCGGCGCAATACTGCTCGGGTAAGCGTACGACTGCTTGGCCCAGGCCGGCGGCGACGCTGCTGAACAGCGTCCCGGCGTCGTTAAAAAGTACTACAGAACAGGCTCTGAGATCGCCGGCCGGTGAGCCCATAGGCACCACGTGAACCGTGCTGGCCCGACTTTAGGTGAGCTGTGGGTAAAGTTAAACGTGCCCTCCGGGGCACATTCTCTCACACTTCTACCTATTGGATTCGTATTGAAAAATGTGCAAAAGAACATATGCTCTCAAGAGTAAAAAAAAACTACGTCCGTGAGCTAAAGTATATACGAGACAGCTGCTTTAATAGATGGAACTAAACAAAAGTCATTGAACTTTAGTGGGTGGAACCAAATATGCCTTAAATACAAATGAGGAACATCCAAACTACTCCTTCCGTCTCAGAAAAAGAGTAGCTATAGTAATCATGTTTATCAAACTTTCTCAACTTTGATGAGGTTTGTAGAAAATGCATGCAACATTTATATCTCCAAATAAGTTTATTATGAAAATATATTCAACGATCTACCTAATGATGCTAATTATGTATCATAAATATTAATATTTTATTAAATATATTTGATCACAGTTAAAAGTCGTTGACTTTTTGAAACGAGAATGACTCTTTTTTTTTACATAGGAAGTAGCGTTCCACATCTTGGATTCTAGCAGTTCACTTGGCTTGGCAACTAGGAGCACTATAATTGGTTGGTAGCCCTTCAATGCACAGGAAAAAAAACGAGCATAGATACCTTTTATAAGAAGAAAAAGTCTACTTTTGACTCCCTCACCGAGATTTTTTTGATTTCATTTTCTGAAGAAGTATTTCAATAGGCATATTATTAAATGATGTCAAGTCGTGGGCCATATTCAAATACGGGAATGTGTTCGGAAAAAAACGATAATGCTAGGTATAAGGCGTCCGGAGAGGCTGCGACGTAGCCCAACGAGCATTCGTCCACACGCCCTTGCCCCCAACCGTTCTAAAAAAAAGAAGATAAAACCTCTCATCCCTTCCGCTACCACCTCTCCACCACCGCGTCTTGCGGCTACCACTCCGTCCGTCCCATCCCGGTGCCGGTGGCAGTGGTGCTCACGTGCGCCGCTGTGGCTAGTGCGCCCGCCCGATCAAGCCAAGCCCGCTAATGGTGGCGGTGGTGCTCACGCGGCGTCGCTCGCTGCCAGCTTTGACCCCGGCGGCTGGAATCGACCAACCCCAGCCTTCCTCTACCCAATGTTGCATGTGTTTCAATTATTTCAGATATATGTTATAATAGTTTTATTTTGATGTTCCAAAAGTAGATCGGGGGATATTACACTTGTTGCATATGTTGCAAGTGTTTCAAATGCATGTTGCAAGCGTTTGTTCAAAATGTTTCATCTGTTCCTAGACGTATGTTGCATTTGTTTTTGATATGGTTGTTGCATACGTTTAACACATTTGTTGCAACAGAATGTTCTAAAATGTTTTATTTGTTTTAGACTTATGTTGCAGCAAGCAGTCCCATGTTGCAAGTGTTATTTTTTACATGTTTCATGTGTTCCACACACATATTGCAAGTGCATGTTCTAAGTGTTTCATCTGTTTTTAGATGTATGTTGCACTCATTTTTTTCATGTTGCAAGTGTTTTATGTTGTTCGGTCGGGGTTGAGCCAGGGGGCAGGCGGACATTGCTCGCGACGCGAGGGGGGGGGGGCTGCAGACGGGGGCGCTAGGGGCGGGCGGACAAGCTCTCGGTCGGGGACCGCCATGTGAGAGAGAGGAGGCGGGGTCTGGGAATGACCGGTGGCCATGGAAAAGGAGGAGTGCGCGCGACGTGGGGCGAAGCGAAGACGAGGAGGGTGGGCGATGGCGGACTAGGGCAGGCCGCGTGGGCGTCCAGACTTTGGACACGCGCCTCCATCCGGACGTCCAGACGCTAGCCACGCCGATTCAAATAACCAAAATAATGCCCCTACCTCAAAAATTAAATTATGTTATCTTGAAAATATTAAATTTAAATTTGGTTTGTCTGGTTTTTTACAGGACTATATTACCTTGATCTCACAAAATTCTTGATCCGGTATTATAAATACTACTTCTCAAATTGGCCAAGGTTTGAGTTTAGTTGTCTATTTCTATTTCTTAGATGGACCGACGTTTGAGTTTGGGTGTCTATTTCTATTTATATATACTCCATTTATTATAAATTATAGTTTACTTGGGCTTCTAAATTCAAACTTATTCAAATTTGATCAACTTTTATATATTATAGTTCCCTTTGTGCAGAGGCTCCTTTAGGCCGGTCCCGGTTGGTGTTTCATGTCCTAGTTTTGAAGACTGGTTAGAAACCGTTACATGTTCGCTGGAACTTATCAGCCGTACAGCGAAATAACAGTGTTTTTCCCTCACAACAAATCAGCATCAGTATCAGCATCTCATGAAACTTTCATCATCTCTCTATCGCCCTGTTTGGGAGAGCGTTTGCTCAGCTTCTGAGCAAGATAAGCCGAAAAGCCCGCACAAACGCCTTGCGTTACGAGGCTGCCAGCGAACGCGCTTCCGCGACCGACGGTCGCCCGCAACGCTTCCCAAATCGCGAGCTTGACCCCACTTTTCCCAAATTGCGCAGGATTTTCCTCTCCCTGCCCCTCAGACCCGAGCGGTCCCATGCTCGCTCCCTCCCCCGTTCGCTCCCTCCCGGCGCCGCCGCCTCCCATTCCCCTCTGGCCCGGCCCTCCCTCCTCTCCCCAGCACGCCCCCCCGGCGGGACCGAGGCGGGCATGCGGCACCCCGGCGAGAGCGAGGCGGGTCTCCTAGCGGGCTCGCGGGGCCCGTCCCCCTCCTTCGGCAATGGCGTCGTGCAGGTCCCGGCCCCCTCCTCCAACGGTGGCGGCGCTCGTGCTGGGGAGCGGCAGATCCGGCTCCGGTGCAGCGGATCTAGCACGGGAGCGCCGGATCCGACTCTGGCGCGGCAGATCCGGCACGGGAGCGGCGGATCTGACTCCGGCGACGCAGATCCCTCACTACCGCCGCCTCCTCTCTGCCGCCCCTCCTCCATTCCCCTCCGGCCCAGTCCTCACCTCCTCTTCTCTGGCTCGCCTCCCCTCCCCTCCGCCGGATCTAAAGGAAGGGCGCTGGCGGCCCTCTCCTCCCCCTCGGTCGGCGCCACCCCTTGAAGCACCGCCGGTTCCGTGCCGGGGGGAAGATGATGGTGGAGCCCGGAGGGGTGCTGCCTGCCCACGCCGTGTCGGAAGGCGAGGAGCAGGGAGGGAGCCAGCGAGGTCTCTGTGGGGGGCACTGAGTTGGAGGCCCATCCGGACGAGGAGGACGAGGTCTCTGACTCCGCCTAGGGGTAGATAGGTCAATTTACATCCAGGACAGATAATCACCCAGAAATAATCAGGACAGCCAAACGCCCAGTTTATTCAGACAACAGATTCTCCAGATCGTGACTTATCAGATAAGCATGCTCAGCTTATAAGCGAGACTCGGAAAAACTCTCCCAAACACGCCCTATATCCATAATATGTCATGTTAGCTTATTTAATATTGATAAAACTCTCATGAAACTCACAGACCTTAAGTTTTAGATTAAGAGCTCGTTTGGTAGGGATTCAGATTCTCGTAGAATTGTTTCAGATCCAGATTCTCTTAAGAAACTTGAGATGGAGAATAAGTAGACCACTTAGCTGCAGAATCAGAATCACTGCAAAACCATTTTGGGTGTGATTCGCGTTCGTAGGCAGGAAAATGAGAATAGCTTGAGGACCGTTTGGCTTGGATTCTCCGGATTCACGTGAGAAACGGAACCGTTTCAAGCATCCAAACGCAGCCTAAAAGTGGAATATGAGCGGACAACGGTTACTATTAGTATACGACATTATTCCATCTACTAGGATTTGAACAAGAGGCCTTTGTCCTTGGTACACGTCACTAAACAGCAATTTCATTGCATGCGTCCGTTTCTTCTACTGCACCGTGAGTTTCAGCAGATTCTCCTGCATCATGTTTACCATGGTCCATGCCTCCACGTATGAAGTTTGGGCATTCATGGATTTCAGTATTTCCCGGATCGAGATTCGTGAACAAACGCTTAAGCCTACCATGATCACAGTGAAGATCGCTGAGAAATCTCAGCCGCAGACGACGAACCTCTGCCCCCCATTCCTCTTCGTCCTCTCCGAACGTCGCCAGCTTTCCACCCCTGATGTAGAGCTTCCTCACGCCCGTCGGCCGAACCCATCGCGCAAAGTCGGCGAACGGGAAACAATGGAGGTCTAGCTTCTTCAAGTTAGGAGGAAGGGCATACTTCATCGTCGCCGCCACCGAGTGACGGGGAGATGCTGCAGCAGTGACGCCGTTCTTGGCAGAGCTGAGCACAGCCCAGCTGATTCTCAACGACTCGAGTGACCTGAACTCGCCCAATTTCAGGAACTCGTCCTCCACCGGCACGGCCATTCTGCCGACGACGATGCCGAGCTTCCTGAGCTTCTCCAGCTTCGTGAGCTCATTCAGATGGCAGAAATCTCTGCTGTTGGAGTTGGCAACCACAAAGCCCTTGAGAATCTGGAGCCGGGTGAGCTGGCCGAGCCCTTTCGGCATGCCGACGAGCAGGTGGCACTCGGACAGGTCGAGGTACTCCAGCCGATCGAGCTTGGCGATGCCCTGCCCCAGCTCTTCGAGGTTGTGGCAGGCCCGGAGGTCCAGCACCTGGAGCTGGCGCAGCTTGCCGATGGAGCTGGGCAGGGACTTGATCCTTAAGATGCCCCGGAAGCTGACGTACCTGAGGTTCTTGCAGCTCTCCATGTCGCGGAACCGCTCCACGCCGCTGACCTCGATGTGGCTGTCCATGGGGCTGGCGATCTGCTGGGCGGTGCTGAACTCCCTCCACTGCCCGAGCTGCAGCACGCGCAGGTCCTTCTTGCCGGCGAACCAGCGCTCGTTGAGCTCAACGTACTTCTGTCCAATGTTGTAAATGGCTCGCACCGCGGCGCTGAAGCCGGCTGCCTGCTTGTCACCGCGCAGGCACGCGCGGCGCGCGAACTCGACATCGCCGGCGTTCAGCTCAAGGAAGCCGTTGCGTCTGGCTACGCTGAGCAGGAGGTCGCGCATCCACGGGCGCACCGTGCACCGGTGCACCGTGCGGCAGATCGCGTTGGGGGCTGTGAATGGGATGATGAACCCCTTGGCGGTGAGGTCGTCGAACCGGCTCTTGCCCTCGTCGGCGGAGCGGACAAAGCCCTCGGCGACCCACCAGTGGAGGAGCAGCCGCTTCTTGATGACGGCGCCCTCGGGGAAGGCGGCGAGGCAGAGCGCGCAGCCGCGCAAGCGTTCGTCAAGGCCGCCCACGGCGAGTCTGAGGTGGCTCATCTGCGGGCCATGGCGTATCTCGCCCATCTTGTTGGTCATCACCGTTGCCGTGCCAGGTGGGGCAGACACCTGTGACTGTGAGGGAGATGTAGTGGAAGACGAAGATTCACCATCATCGTCGCACTCGCAGGGGATGTTGTAGGCCTCTCGAATGCCGGCCTTGATGGAGCCGACGCCGGCGTCGACAGCGAGCAGGCCCACGTGGATGCGCTCTGCGTCCGGGGGGTCGTGCTGGAGCGCGTCGTCGAGGTGCTGCTCCCCAGGGTCGAAGCTGTAGCGGATGCGCTTCTCGGCGTCGTCGATGCGGCGGAAGACGCGCTCTAGCTGCACCATCTCCCGGCGAACCTTCTCCAGCAGCGCCCGGCATCGGGCTCGTGATTTGGCGTCCTCGTTGCAGAGCTGGCGGGGACAGTAGGCGGCGGCGGCGGTCCCTTGCCGTCGGGGGGAGTGGGACCAGAACCAGAACCAGAAGGCGGCGGTGCGTTCGAGTCGAGCAAGGTGCTGATGTTGGCGAGGCGAGCAAGGAGCGGGACGAGGATGTCCTCCTCCACGCCGCGGGATGTGGCGTTTCCCTGAGCTAGGACGGACATAGCGCGTGAACTGGCGGGCGTTGGCAAGGCTGAAGGCTGATGCCCTCCTTTTCACCCATTTTCTGGATCACTCAACAACTAGGCTCTTCATCAATCAATTCCTAATAAATCAGCTTTCACTTGACTGTCGTAATCGTAACTACCCATCACCATCTCTCCATCGCCGTCACCAACTAAATTCCACGGCAGCGCGCGGCGCTCCAGTGACTTTTCGTTGACGAGTATGTTTCGTTGACGAGTCTGTATCTGGTCTAGATTGGATGTACGTGTATCTACTCTAATTTATATATATTGAAGTAGATTGGAATAAAACTTAATTTAATTTCATTTCAGTCAATTTTAATACATATGGATTGAAATGAATATATGCACATCAAACAAGGCCTTAAGAAATAAAAATCATTTTGGCCTTCCTATATTCACAAGTGAATGAGTATAATTGTTCAATACAAGCACCAGTACTTACACTAAATTTTACTAATGGACCGTTTGGATCCTTTTATTTGGGGAATTGAAGTCTACTTAATAAACTAGACTATTTGGCTTGGAATTTGATATTCCACACTTTTCAAAGTTCACGTATAAGGCTATCTCAAATTCATAGGATTGGAGATGAAAATTGATTCTATAGATCACCATGCTATGTTTCTACTTTGCAATTTATAACATGTTCTTTAACTCGCTCCCCTACGGTAGAAATGCAACACATAAGTATCTCTCTCATATAGATAACAATAATATACAAATATAATCCATATACAACCATATTAGCTTAATTAATATGTGTTTCAATTATGATTATTAAAACAAATTTAATTCCAAGGTTCCAAACGAGGCCTAAGCAGAAAGTTTTAAACAAAAATCAGGCCAAAAGACCGAACCACATGTCGGAGGTTTGGCACCCGCAATACAGATTAGTGTATCACGCACAGGGAATCAAAAGAATAGCACATGGTACCCTACACGCCCTAGTTGATGGGCTCGCATGGTTATTACAAAGAAAGGCTTCTACAACATACTCAGGAGGAAGCCGTCAAGGAGATTGTGATGGACCGGATTGTAAATGTCTGACAAGCACTGACCCCCATTTGGTGGAGCTAAGGTCGGAGTTCCTGCGCCAGGCTGTCATGGTGCCACAAACACATCCGAATCAAGGGCAAAGCATGCCGGCGACTATAAGAGTCTAGAGGTTCATCATCACCGATATGCCATGCTCTCTGTTTATCTCGATCATTAGGAACATGAGCTGGACGATGGAGGTGGCCACGTGAATGGTAATGTAGGGGTGCGTGTTTCATTGTGATCCCATCCTAACCAACTATGCCAAGGTCATGGTGCTCGAAATCTACCCCGATCATCTCATGCATGACCTTGACTTCCTCACTAAGCGTGGCATCAAATACCTGGAAACGCCAAGAATAACTTCATGCTTTGGAATTGGTGCGGCATTGTCCTTAGGCCGATTGCATAGCCCTCACTATCTCCCATGCATCCTAAGAACGATAGTGAGCCAACTACTCCACCGCTAACGAACCATCCTCAAGCAGCTCCACAAGAGCACACCACACCTCCGTCGACGAACGATCCTCTGCTGGCGAATGATGAGGGGAAGCAAGCACAAATGAAGAGGCAACTACCCTCTACCGTCGAAAGATCCTGAAGCAACTCCACAATAGTGCCCAACCAAACACATGAAAAGAGAGCATGCGGTGTAGAAGCACGCCAAAAAGTACAGCATCTCAACTGAATATGAGAGGTACAATTCTTACAACCAGCCCAGTCCAACTTGTCAGGACAAATTAGTCGAGTTTCTAAGTGGAAAGTCTCGAAGCAGGAGACCATCACCGCCAGGATGGAACCTTATAGATTGCCATAAAACTACGAGCATGGCAAGTTCAAGCTGCCTTTCAGAGAGCTCGTAAAGGAGCCATGAGAAGTTAGGAGGTTCCATAATGCTTGGTACACATGGAAGTAGCAAAAGCAGACCTCCACTCCTTCAATGTAACGTCCCGAAGGAGGCATTCCTTTCTGATGAAGATCATGAAGTCTTCATAGACTTCCATGACATACATAGATTGCTATGACACAAGGAACTCGACATCATTGAAGTCACCTTTTTTGCCCTATAAGTTACGAGCCATTGATGTACATGCATCACTATATGTACTTTGGAAAGAACCTAATGACATGATTTGTCTTTGTAGAATGTAGGACCACATTGTCCAAATACTAGATAAAAAATATTGTTGACCTCTGTCCCATGATGATTAATGAGAGATGCCATATGGGTCACGAGTTGCCAGACGACAGTGAAAAACTTGTGGGCATGAACAAGCAGGAGAGAGAAGCTTTTCGGAAAAATATGTGAAACAAATTGAGTTTAAGGTGGCATCATATATGGTACTAACACTACTACAACAGATCCATAACAGCCGGTTTGTAAACCCCATCACCACCAGTTTTGGGCCTCGACATTGAATTATCGACGGTGATAGTCATTGTCATCATCGCCGATTCACAACCGGCTGTGATAGTGTGCTACGCCGCCGCTTTGTAGTATGATCCGTTGTTTTAAAGGTCGTAATCATCGTCACCTTGTAGTATCATTCATCTGTGTAGAGGTAATGATCACATCCACTTTGGAGTAGGATCCATCGGTGTAAAGGTCACGATACTGCTGCTTTGGAGCAGGATCCGTTTGTGCCAAGGTCATCATCACCATTGCTTTGGAGCAGGAGCCATCTATGTAAAGGTCATGATCACCGCCACATTGTAGTTTGATCTGACATTGATGATCATACAATTAGTGTCGGTTTGCTAGACAATCTGGTGGTAATGATTTTTCCCCATCGTTTAGTGGTGCCTTCCCACGGTGACAAACCTTTTATCACCACTGGTGAGTGGTATGATCCGGCGGAGATGAGCAATTTATACCACCCGTTAGTGATCATTACTAGATTCATGAGTAGAAAAAAAGATGAGCATATGAAGGCTCATGAATAGAAAAAATATATTTATGATAGCCATGTCTCAAGATAATAAATTAAATAGAGAGATCATATCAAATGAAGGAGTATTTCCCATATATCATGTTTCCACACACATGCACTTCTTAATCCAAGAGTATGTAATTTTACAAAATATGCAATGCAAGTATGTTGATATGATCATCCCTACCTGAGCTCCACATAAGCCTTTTAGATGTAGGATGAAAAAAAAGAAGGCAACTCAAGAAAATTAGGCTATGCTTTTGTAAGGAATCATACACCATAGAGTGATCTGAGAGTACCATATGAGGAATAAAAGTGATTCATGTGCTTTGTTGAAAAATCTATCAAAAACTCCAACTACTAAGATGTGAAAATGGAAAAGATGACTTTGTTTTTTTTAGGCCTCTCATCTAGGTACAGCTGTAGTTTCTGTTCAGAAAAAGATGACTTTGCTTCGAGAACCATTACACTTCTCAACCTCTAAAGGATATATGTCACCCAATGCCACATATCCCACATGTATGAGAAATGCTCTGAAATAATCTTTATCATAGCTGTATATCTTAAGATGTTATGTTCATGCTTACTTTTGTTTCCATCCTTTACTTGAGGACGAGCAAAGTCTTAAAGTGTGGGGGCTCTTGTTGATGGTAATTTCACCATACATTTACATAGTCAAAATCATCAACGAAACATCCTTTTTGGTAGAGAACAAGCAAAGAAGTAGTGATTTTGGTTCATTAACATGGTTCCACATGTACATGTCATTATTTGCTTGTAGGTACATATTTGAGAGCTTTGGGTGGCTGTGGGTCCCACATAGGGGGTCGGCCGACCACCCTATGGGCCCACTGCCCCCTCTCAACTCTCCCACAAGGTCCCATGATCCTCACAACACCATCTTGAGTGACATGAACCATTGGATCAAATGTGTGCTTCCTCTCAAGGGCTCACATTCACTTCACACGGATTGTATGGCCCACCTCATCATCATCTTGAGGAATGGAGTGGACCCACCTACACTTACCCAACAAGGAACATGCCAAGAGGCCCCACACTGTGGCAGAACTACCTAATCTAATGCCTCCTAGGAGTGCTCGTCTTCCATTAGACACTAAGCACCCAAGGGAGGGCACCAAATCACGCGGTCCCGTCGGGCACACCCCAGAGGAGAACCCGAAAAACCACATTTTTACCATCAGGATCACAAATGAGATAATAAAGCTTACAACATTCTTAACCATTTATTACATCACTTTTAATGCAACATCAGAGTACAGTATTTATTATTATAACAGCGGAATGTATCATATTATCAGAGTTATGAACAATTTAATTGAACAGCGGAATATAACATGTGATCAGAATTACAGCGAAAATAATTATCTAATCATGTCATGAAGAATCATTGATATGTAAACTATGACAACAGATTATAAAACTTTCATTTATAAAAACATTTAGTGAGAGTTATAAAGAAGACTATGATCGCAGCATAAAGGAAATCCTCTCAGAGCCCACCAGGAGGAATCCACACACAAGAGTCAGCTTTAGCATCCACCTGTCACCTGCAACAGGAGAAATAAAACCCTGAGTACTCAATTGTACTTAGCAAGACTTACCCGACAGGAGGAAAGAAAAGACTCCAAGGATATGCAAGGCTATCTGGCTGGTGGGTTTATTGCCTTTGCAGGAAGCCTTACTAAGCGTGCGTCCTTATATTCAATTTTTATTAATAGCCGCATTGGTTCAT